ACCACCTGCTGGCCATATGACCTTAGGCAAGTCACTTCACCTTGCTGAGCTACTTCAGATTTATTCCTTCCCCTCCCCTCCACTCCCCTCCCCTCCCCTTCCCTTCCCGTTTCACTCTGTGACCCAGGCTGGAGTGCAGTGCTGCCATCTCGGCTCACTGCAACCTCCACCTCCTGGGTTCAAATGATTCTCCTGTCTCAGCCTCCCAAGTAGCTGGGATTACAGGTGCCTGCACCACCATGCTTGGCTAATTTTTGTATTTTTAGTAGATACGAGGTTTCACTGTGTTGGCCAAACTGGTCTCAACCTCCTGACCACAGGTGATCCACCTACCTCGGCCTCTCAGAGTGCCGGGATTACAGGCGTGAGCCACCGCGCCTGGCCAGGACCACTTCTTAAGGCAAGTGCTCCCCAAGACTGTGTTCTTGGGCCACTTCCAGTCCCACTTCCCACTTCCTCCTGGGCAAGCAGCTGACAGCCCTGACGCCATCCATCATCTGTCTCCAACTCCAGCACCTCTTTCTCCGTAAGTTCACATCTGTGTATCCTACCTTGTGCCTACTGGATTTTGTTGCATGGACGTCCCACAAACGTAACAAATAAATGTCTACAACTTCTTCTCAAGCCAGTTCCTGCCTCTGGGTTTCTTATCCCTGGAAAGGGCGTGACCCCTGGGCTGAGAACTCAAGCTGTAAATCTGAGCATCAACCTTGCTTAGTTTTCGCCATCTCCATCAGTTATTACGTGCTGTGTGACAAGTTGCCCCAGTATGTAGTGGTTTAAACCCACCATGGTTTCCTGCTTCCTGTGACTCTTCCGGGTTCACCTGGGCTCCCTTAATGGGGCTTCATTCAGCCGGAAGGTCCCAAATGGCCTCACTTTCACACTGGCCTTGATTCCCGCCTCGTGGCCTCCCACTCTCTTTTTTCAGTAGTCTAGCCTGAGTACCTTTAAATGGCAGCTGGGAATGACAAAGCTGGGAAGTGGCTGTCACTTTCACCACGTTCTCTTGGTCAAAGCATCACAGACACGACTCCTCCTCTTGCTGAGTGGGGTGGCATAACCATACAGGGCCGGGGGTCATTGTTGTCCCTAGAGACGCCCACAGCACCCCCTGCATCCAATCAGACATCAGACCAGCAGCTGCACCCGCAGGTGGTAGGCTGGTAGCACACATGACCCCAGTTCTGTCCCCGTCTGGATCTGTGCCCTTGGCTGGCGAATTTGCAGTGCCCTCCCATGTGTGGGAAGGGGGTTCTCTCCTACCCCCGGACTCTGTGCTCAGGCATGTGACTTATTTTAGCAAATGTGATTCAAGCAAAAGCTGGTAATGGGGCTTTTGCTTGTTTTAATCCCTCTCCAGCTCCCCTGCAATCGCTAGGAGATCTGGGCTGGCCCATGGGAAGTGAAACACATGGAACTGACCTGAGCCACCCCAGTGCTCTCAGTCAAAGCCGTCCTAAACCAGCGGCCTGAGACACATGAGAAGAGTTCAGCCAAGAGGTGCAGAGCCACCCATCCGGACCCACAGATCCACCCCTCTGGACCCGCCAATCCACCCCTCCGGACCCGCAGATCCACCCCTCCGGACCCGCAGATCTACCCC